TTTGCTGCTGATGTAGTTGAAGAAGCCCTTCTTGTTGTCCTTGACATCCCTTGCCAGATTCAATTCCAGGTGGGCCTTGGCTTTCCTCGTTGCATCCCTGCACGCTCTGACAACATTCCTGTACTCTTCCCAAGTGGCCTGTCCCTCTTTCCACATTCCATGGACCTTCCACTTCCACCTGAGCTCCGCTAGAAGCTTCTTGCTCATCCATGCGGGTCTCCTGCCTCCTTTTCTAGATTTCTTTCTCAGGGGGATGCACCGCTCCTGAGCATGGAGGAAGTGACGTTTAAACAGTGACCAGCACTCTTGGACGCCCCTGCCTTCGAGAACCCTGACCCATGGGATTCCTCCAAGTAACTCCTTGAAGAGGCTAAAGTTAGCTCTCCTGAAGTCCAAGGTTTTGATCCTGCTTATCGCCCTGCTTCCTCCACGCAGGATCCTCAACTCCACCATTTCATGGTCGCTGCAGTCGAGTCTACCTCCAACCTTCACATCCTCAACCAGTCCCTCCTGGAACGGAGTAGTACGTTCTGCAGACAGAATACCCTATCAGGTACTTCAAGTTCTTGATTCCTAGGCAGTATGTTTCCCAGTGCTTATAACACTGCCTGTTCAGTCCTTCACTACTGAAATAATCATTGGCAGCCATTCTTGGCCATCTTGCACGGCTTTTAGTTCTGTGCTTTAATCTCTGACTCAATGCTCAGTCCTGCAGCTCTTGTCCAGTTGGAGGGAGCTGGTTCACTTCAATCCTTCCCTTCAGCAGTGGTCTGCAGTGATGCAGCAGCTCAGACCATCTGGTCCTTCCTGGCTCTTTTGTTTGTATGATACTCCGTACAGCACAGACTGTACAACAGTCTGCTGCCCAAAGGTCTATTATTCTCTATAGCCTGTTCACAAGCTGAAGTCTCTCTCTCCCCTCTTCTCCACTATTCAAGAAGCATAGAAGGAGTAGCTTAGACAATATGCTGAATTTTTAGATGGTTACAGTACTATGCAATGAATCCAGATCTTACTGCTCTTCCCTGTGGGTTCCTAAGCCAGAGCAGTAACTACTGTAAGAAAGCCCAAACAACCGATAGGTTTAGCAGACACACCCTTACCTCTTTCACAGAACTTTCTCTATTTGTAGACAAGTCCTTACCAGTACTCTTTAGTATTTGTTTTCTGAGGACCTGCCAGGCAGCTCTATCTCTGCACTTTAATCCTGAGGTAGAACATCCATAACCAAGAATGCCTATCATGGATGAGAGGGTAAATGCTGTGAAGCTGAAAGGCAGATTTAAGGTGCTGGTTTTCACTTAGGGTTGAACTATTTAGGCAACTCTTCATAGGTCAGGCTCAAAGACTGGGAAGTAGACGAGAAAATCCATTCACCACTGTAAATCAATGTTTCCCTAGCAAAGCACAGCACTGCAGAGTGCTGCCTGTATGCTAGATTGGAGGGAATTTAGAGTAAGTTACTGCTGGGCTTGTACCAGAGCAACCATAAGAGAATCTCTTACCTGTTTCTCTGCATCCTCAGCTCTTAGCTCTGCTTCTATCACTCTCTGTTCCAATTCCTGCATCTTCAGACCCAGAAGAGAAGGAGGGGAGAGGGGGAAATAAAGAAAATTAACATCACCAGGAAATTCACCTGTTTAACTCAGGAATCTTCCATTTATTCTGCAGGTCTACAGATCTTTGGCATCTTTTGGGTTAACTGGACAGCTTTGACCAGGAAAAAAAAAAAAAAGCCTTTGACCTTTTCCAGTCTTCTGCCCTACTTTGAATTTACTGGAACTGTTTTCTCATTAGTGAGCTTCGTCATTCATTACACGGGTCAAGGGAATAGTCCCAAAGTCTTGACCTCATCTCTACAATTTACACAGAAGTCTCTCTACAGTACACTATTCTTTTCTGGTCTTATTTCAGCTAGGATTCATTCACAACGGTAAATAAAAATTAATACATCTTGGAAAGCTCACAGCAGGTTCTCTACGATGCCACATTATAACCAATGAATACTTTGCTTTGGCTTTAAAAGCATCACAGGCTCATAATTGACAAGATTAACTATGATCTTAATTTTCCTATGCTTCTTTTCATTTTAAAGAGCTTCGCAAACTGACAATTCTGTGAGTCTTTATCTGAGCATTGCTGCTATTGAAGTCAAAGGACACCGAAAAGAATTTTATTCTAAACGTATGTAAATCACTTCATTCTCAGTGAAATGCAGATGTACCTGGGGTTCCTCTAACAACTTACCACTAGATCCAGTGTTTTCTTTTGGTTTTTTTAATAGCAACTAAGGATCTCATTCAGTGCCCACGAGGTCATCTTCCACCACCTGCCCTGCTTCGATGGGTCTCAGATTTAAGCCCAGTAATATGAAGTAAGTGACAATAAGTTTCATCCACTAAGCTGCAAAACTTGAGGAATGCGTCACAGAGTTTCCAGCATTTACTTGTGTTTTACTAATGAAGGAATGACATAGAAGCATTGACATCGGGAGATTAAGAGTCACACTTCAAGCAGAAAATAAACTATAAGAGGAACTGAGTTCCTTTTCTCTCCAACGCATTTTATGATTCTTGATGAAGAACTGGAGCCCAGTATTCAGGTTGGTCACTATGACGACCAAACCAATATTTCTGAAAATGGGACTTACTCCTCTTGGGTTGATCACCCAGAATGGAGAAGACAGCGTTCCCGTGTTTCCATTTCCCTTCCTTCAAATGGCAACAAGACAACTCTCCTTTTCATACATACACATTGATCATAAGGGCACGTTGACACCAATCGATAAACATATCAGGAAGGTACATATACGCAGACACCTCAATAGTCATATAACTGAAAAAGCCATGCCATAACAAATTCAAACCATGAAGATCAGAAAGTGCCACATTTAGCACGATACCTCTCAGATTTGCTTTTGCAGTGGGGCAATCAATGACATCACAGTCTTTGGAGCTTAACATCCAAATCAAGGACACTTCTTTGGCAAAGGAACAGAGAGATGCCATAGAAGATTGCGCAGACAGCCAAAGCTGCTCTGACCAAAGACCCAGTGTCTAAGAGTCTCAGTAGAGACTGAGCTCAAGGCGATCTAACACCAACAGCAGTGGTCTGGGTTACGACATCAGTCTGTGTCCATCATGAACAGTGATCTACCCGTGCATTTATCTATCAGTCTCCGGATAGCCATCACCACAGACAGGCAGCAGCAAAATATATTGGTGAAAGACAGATGCTAACTGGAGACATAATACACATTGTGAAACCAAGACTGTTTATGATGGTAGCTTCAGAGTCAAGGGCCTCTGCTAGTTTTCTGAGGAATTGACAGGGTTTACATTCACAGCACAAACTTTAGATGAATCTCTGGGCCCCCTCCCAAAGGCTGTCTTCTTAGACTAACTCAATCCTCCACAAAGCGGGCGATCTTCATTAAAGACTTGGGTTATTTTAAGAAAACAGCACTGTTCTGACTGAAAAACTCCTTGTTGTCCCAGCCTGATGACAGCTAGCTTTGCATTGCTAGCATTCCTGGATCTTGATCAGGACAGAAAATGTATGTTGGGACCATTCCTGATCACTGAAGAGTTATGAAACTTCTTGTGAAAGCAGGGTGACCTGGCTAAGTTCCAGTCAAATTCATTACTTTTGTCACCCTAATTCCCTCCATAGCCTTAAATGACCTTGTACTTTTCTTAACTTTCTGTACTACATTGTTGGGTTGTCCTACTATGAACTGTTAAACAACTGCTGTGCTTCTCTTGTACACAGAATGATTACTTCACCCATCCCCGGTGTCAGCTGTCTCACTGGAGTGCATTCAGATACAATACATCCATGCTTGTAAGGCTCTTTCAAATCCCTCAATGAATTAATAGTAATGCTTGGTATTTACATGAGCCCTTTCATTCAAAATGCTTTATAATTTGACAAATGCTACTAAGCAACTTGACCCAGGTCACATAAAAAAACTTGGTGACCAAGACAAATTCAAGTAACTTTTCTCCCAAACATTACCCCAGACAGCTCATATGGAGAGAAACAGGCCCAGCTGTGTAGCCATGCTTGCATGAGACAAAAGAGGCTTTTTCCCAATGTTCATTTTTATTGAAGTAAGACAGAAGCAGGTTAAAAGCTACCCAGATGGCCCTTCTAAAAGCTGCAAAAGTTCCTCCTATCAACCACTCACACAGGCTTTCGCTTCCCTGATGGCTCAGAACATGCTAAAAAGAATTGAGCAAAAAAAGTTCCTGCATGTCTCAGCCTCATTTTGTTCCTGTTGTTCTCTTCCAGAGCTCACTCCTAAACAGGTCATCTTGCTGCCAAGGCAACAGCCTGCTATGTTGCTCACTAGCAGAGGAGTATCCCTTTCTTTGTGTGCGTGTACGAGAAAGAGTGGAAACAACTGCCTGTTTCCAAAGAGACCGGATCCCTGCTGATGTTCACAACAAAGCAGGACCCAGGGGTCTCGCGCCCTGCAGTGGTCCAGCAGGATGACAGAGTTTTGTCTTGGAGGCTAGGGGCTGGGGTCCCTCTGCCACACCGTCTCGCAGCCAGTCTCTGCACAGCTTGGGCAGCAATGCTCTATAGCCGAGACCGGGCTACCAACATGGAAATTAACACCATGCAAACTAGGGCATAGGCAGTTAAACCGTTGGGTTTTAAATTCCTCATGTTCTGAACAGTGATCTAGATTATTCAATCTAAGCGGATTTTAAAAATCTGAAGTATTTAAACTGCTAGTGCACATTGTACTACCAATGCCAGGCATGAGAGGCTGGGGGTTTTTTTGTGAGTTAAAATAGTAAAATCTGCTTCAAAATCATAAAATTAGTTACAAAGACTAATTTAAAATGGGGAATCGTGTTTCCAAGCCTTTCAATCAGTAGCTTCCAGACCCCTGAGACAACCTAACTTCTGAGCAAGTATCACACCGCTGTTAACATTCTTCACTTTCACTGGCAAAACCTTTTTCTTTTTCTCCTGTTGCTTCAAACCATATCAGAGGATCTCAGGGGCAATGCTCACCACAGGTTGGCAACACAGTTTCATACTGTGCCCACTTCACATTTTTCAAGATCTTCTCCCTTGCCCCTCAAAAAAACCTTTTTGAAAATGCAGTACTCTTTCAAGTAAGTCTGCATCTCTTCAGTCTCACAGATAGAACTGTAAGGAAAAAAAAATAAAAATCACAGTTGCTATAAAATCAATTATAAAAATCCCTGGAGCTGGCATCACTATGCATAAAGCACGCACCTCCTTCGGTTCTGCATCACTGCCCACCTGAATGGGGGAAGGATGCAGCACGGACAGGAGCCCCAGTTGCTGTCACTGCTGGGGAGCCCTGTGCCGACCGAAGAGGGAAGGAGGATCTCTGAGCAAGTCGTTGCAGAGCAGTTGGGAACCTGGGGCACTGGACACTTCCCAACAGCAGTGTTCAGCATGAGCACTGCGTGCTGAGCACCTGCTCCGGTGCCTTGAGCTCACCTGCATCAGGAAAGCCTGCCGGAGCTGCCCCACAGTCCCTGAGGGTCTCCCCTTCCCACGTGACATTCAGAGTAGGGAACTGCAAACCTGCTAGCTCTTTGACCCTTCAACTAAGCCTACGCTGGAGCTGTTCAAGTAGTTACAGAGTAACCCGATCACTGAACCAAGCTGCTCCTCAATCTTAACAAACGGAACATTGCTTTGACTGAAAGGCTGGATTAATGGCAGCCAGTCAGGCCCCTTCCTTGGGGAGCCCCCTGAAGCAGAAGAAGATTTCATTCTCTGCCATGGCCCACAAACCTCGCTAAAGCAAGAGTCAGAAGATCTCTGGCAAGGCTGTTCTCCAAAAAGAAAGTTTGATAGGTGGGTTTCTTTGTTGTGTGGGGGGGTAGTCAGGAAGGTTCTCAAAGCAGAAACTAATAAAGCACGAAGCCACAGATTCCATAATGCAGCAAATGTAGAGTATTGCACTGAGTGCTGGTTGTCTTTATCAGACCTGGCCACGTCTATACATGACTGTTTTTAATGTGCCTTGATCTAAATGGACTTTACAACAACTTTCATTATTTTCCAAGGTAAGTAATCACTAAGGTCCATCTCAGGAGCTACCTTGAAAGATGAAGAGGGTGCTTAGAATTGTGTAATTTCTTAAAATACGAAGGGTGGAATGAATGCCTTGTGCAGTATGTGGCGTTAGTGGAAACATAATTACAATTGAAAGCAAGGATGAAAATTGCTCCACTCTGAAGTGGATGTAATTTTGATGCTTTTACATCCAAAACCAACAAACAAGAATATAGACATAAAAGTTACATAATACAAAATGGAGCAAAAGTGAGTATAGAACAAATCTGTCATCAGGTACAGCTTAAAGGCATTTGGAGTAAACTGCAGTCAGTTGTAAAGATTTCAACTTCATTAGAAAACTGTGGCTGAAAGAAACTGTTCTCACTTTCCAATAGTAATTGAATATCTGAGCAAACTTGAACTGGACTGTGATAATGTAAGCCATGTTTTCAAATTACAAAGAAACACCACAGCAACCTACAAACTTGGATATTATGTAACTAAGAGGTTAGTGAAAAAGTTTTACTTCAAATTGAAAAATAACTCAATTTAAGTTAAAGAAAAAACACCAAAAATCCACACCATGATGGAAACAAACAAAAAAAGCCACCAACAAAACTCTCAAATCTTTGCCAGTCCCCTCCCGTAGGATTGCAAATCATTTAGTACACTTGAAAGAGATTAGTAGGAGATGCCTCTAAAACCACAGATGCCATGCAAGTTTCTAACACCCAGATCTCAAAGTATCTCAGTGCTGCTCTTCAGTATCACCAGAATGTTTTGACTCGATATGCAATGTTATTCTAACACTATGGCAGCACATGTACCCCTGTCCAGTCTTTCAACATTACAGCATAATTTGCACTCCTGTAAGCTTTTCTATTGACAGGCAAGTCCTGATCTTGCTAGTTTTACCCAAAATATCCATCTTTGCTCTGCAGCTGCCTCGGTTACTTTGGATATCCAGAATCTTGCTGGTAACAGTGTATTCCGGTAGAGTCCAAATAACTGGTGATTTTGCAGTAAACAAGGCCAAATTCTTATTTTCACTAATGCCACTTTACACCACTCTGACAGGCACTTCTCTATATCTCACATGATAAGCAGAGCACAATGACATATGCAGTGAAGGAAGAGATCCTCACTGCAAGTAACAGTTTTATTGGATAGCTCAGTGTTAAGGGATTTTTTGCTTTTATGCTATAACTCAGTGCAAAGTAGAAGCCGCCACCACTGCCTCACCTTCTCAGCTAACAGCTCTCGGATCTTGCTTGCCTGCAAACGGAATTTGAAGAGCTGGGACTCCAAGGCAAGGCATCGCTTTTGCCAGTCTATACAGCTGCCATTCTCCACTGTGAGTTCTGCCATTGTGAAGTTAATCATCCATTTGGGACATCGTCTGCGGTGCTCTAAAAATCCTACAGAAGAGAACAGGAAGAAAAGGTAATTTAGGCGGACAAACTTTTCACCCCTTGTGCCTAGTCTTCCTTGGTTCATCTTACAGGATGGGTAACAAAGGCCATTTCTTCTGCAAGCCAAAGGTGAAACGGTACTATCCCAAGTAATTGATATTGCCCTCTGCCAGAGGTCACTCTTAATGGACAACAGATAAATATTCAAAAAAACTTTTACCTTTCAGATGAGTAAATAATTTACTAAAGCATCGTACTGTATATTCCACATACAGCCTTACTGCCACCCTTACAGGCTTGCTTAGCATCTACCTACAGACCAGGAGTATTTTTACTCCTACCTCCTTTGTACCATCAGTATGGCTGTAAACTCTGAAGTCACTAACACCTCTGAAACACAGCTCCGGTCACACACCCATTATTAACCTGGGGCACCAGTGCCTTATCTCATACAGACTGCCTTAAGAGGATACGATGTATGAAGCAACAGTGTTCTCAATCCCTAACTACTTGATACAGTCATTCCACAATAAGAGTGGAAGAGATGCTGTACCACAGTATCTAAACAATTGCTCCATTAAAACATAAAGCTGTCCCAGCCAGGAATAAGCTAGGGTTGAGGACAAAACATGCAGGTCTACTGAAGTCCTTGTCGACATCAAGAGATACACGCAGCTCCACAAAGTGGAAAAAGCTGTAAGTTATTTTATTTTCTTACTCAATACTGTTTTGACGTTCCAGATACTTTGTGCTCTACGTAAAAGATATGTAAAATGTAGGTAATGAGTGTCCTTAATCAAATTCAAGTGTTTGAGAACACTCACAAAAAGGTTTATAATATCCACTCAGTGTGAGCAATCCAGCAGTCAGCTGTATTACTCTACAATAACAAATGTTTACAAAACCAGAACAGTTATTAGTTCATCAGCTTCATCAGAACACTGAAATCCATACTTAAAGGAACTTCTCACCTGCTCACAGGCAAACTCAGTGCTATCCTGAACTGGGACCAAAGTAAAAGACCAAGACTTGGGAGAGAGCAGTAAAGTCACTCAGCCTCGTTGCCTTTACATCATCTGCCTTTGCAGGGTGGGAAAGCTTAAGATGTCCCCCTAGTACCCACTTGCCAGGACACCTGGCTCATATCTCGCACGTAAGAGACCTGAGATTCAAGTTACCCTAAGTACACATAATAGCGTAAATATATATAACACAACAAGCCACTCTATCCAGCTACATCCCTGCTGTTCCGAGTTAAGGAAAACACACTTTATAGCCTTTAGCTACAAACATTACCTGCAAGTTATTTGTATATACAAGTTGCTTTGTTCAGTAATATAAAGCTTTCCAGGCAGTGAGTTGCCTGCCTTTCCAATGATTTGTGAAATACTACTCCAGGTCAGAAGGTAGGTTTAACTAAAACAAGGAAAAGGCACACTCATGTCCGATACTGCCTCACTGGAAACACCCTGTGGCAGGAAGGAAGATCAGTATTCCACAGGCAGCACCTACATCTTTACAGGAATCCTTTTCCACAGCGCAGTCCAGCACATTGATCTAATCTCTAGCCGTAGCTCCTTGCCAAGCATTTAACCAGGTTACCTTCGGCACACTTCACAGCATTGTAGGGTAAGGTAATGTAAGGTAGTGCTACCAGTCCTTCTCAAGCCAAAAGAGTGCGATAACTCATGGGATCCTACAATACCGTAAGTTTATTTTCAGCTAAGGGCATATTAATTCAGCTCTCAAATGAAATTCTGTTCTCTTTCATATAGGTATGAAGGGATTGTAGTCTTTATTCATAGAGTTTAAGTCCAAAGAGGACATACAAATGAACGGGATAAAGTCTAATGGCACAAAGTAAAATGCATCTCATTTACCACACAGCTTATGCCACAGCAAAAGTAATTTCCTCAGCTAGTCCATAACTTCTGGTTGAACTAAAATACCTCATTCTGAATAGGAAGTATAAGACTGGGATAGATGTCCTGAATCAATGTCTTGCTCCTTCTCACCGTAGACAACTGCATCATATAATCCCTTTCATAAATGAACACAGCCCTTCCCTAGAACCATGCAGGCAGTTTTGCTCCCACTGTTCCTGTTGTTCTAGAACCTCACCCCTCTAATGAGCTGCCTTCTAATTACCAGCATAATCATAACCGGCTTGTATCTGTTCATTCTTGTAGATTATTGCCCTTTAGCTTAGCTAGTTTTTTTCCTTCCCTCATATTTACCCTTTGGTATATTTATAGATATCAAAAGTTTCTCCTTAAAGACCTCATTTTGCAAGGCTAGAGATAAGGCGCTTTTCTGGTCTTGTAAGAAAAGCTCATCACTCTCCCTCTGCACCTGTCCCAGCTTCAGTGCACATCATGTAAAAGAGTTGGGTTTTATCTTTCTCACTCCCCTTTGCAGACATGGGTGACCACAACTGCATCTGAAAGGCAGCATGCAGCCTCACCAAAGCCTCCTCCAAAGGCATTTAGTACTTTCCACTCTCCCAGGGAATACCTCACCCGACTACATTTGCCTTTTTTACAACCATATTACAGTGGTGGTTGACTTTCACAGACAAGCCAAGGCAACTGGAGCGGAGGAATCTCAGCTGGCTTTGCCTTTGCAAATGCCAGGCACAGAAGTGCAGGGGACCCATTACAATGACACTGGAACAGATTAATAATGAACAGGTCTGTGCCAGATCTCCACAAGATCAAGAACCTCTGTACTACAGGCCATTGTAAAATTTAACAGGCCATGGTTACACTGTGATTGGTTAGTGTGTCCACGTCTTTTCCTCCTCTGCTGTTTCTAAATAGTGCTCTCCCAGGTTTTGTTCCCACTTTATTACTACTTCTAATGTGCAATTTTACTTTGTGTTACTAGAGTTTATCCCATCCTTACTAATCCCCTGGATCAGTCAACTCTTCCAGTAAAATACCTACCATCTAACAGTCCCTCCTTCAGCACAGCATTGTCACATTTTCTTTTGTCACTTCTCGTCTATCTTATCATTCTTCTATTAATCCCCACCCCCTCCACTTAAGCTAATAACTTCCCAATGTGTCATTATATCAAATGATTTCTGAAGGCCAGAGATAAGAATTATGGCTTTTCTTCTCTCTAGCAAAAACCTTAAGCTTTCTCAGAGAAATATATTGTATCACAATGTCTCACATTTACCCCTAAATTACAACTTTATTTACAACTTCAAATTCATTCTGAATTATCTTTTACTGTTAAACGCATCATTCCTTCTCCCCCATTCTCCTAAACATAAGCAGTTAGTCTGTACTTTAAGAATTACAGTATCAACTTCATTTTGACAGACTGACTTTAAATCCTTGGAACCGGACCTGCCATTTCACATGCCATTTTTGTAATTCTTAACCATCTTAATCCACTAAGTTCCTTGATTGTCCCCCTCCCCAAGATATTGGTCCTTTTCATATCAGACAAAGAATGTATATGGTTATATAAAGAATGTATATGGTTATATAAACCATATTTGTATGGTTATATAAAACTGGTTCTTTTTTCCCTTTGGCATGTGAAAAAGTTGGGAATCAGATAATTTCAGCTGCAGTATTCTTAGTTTAGGAAGTTGGAAAATCGGAGGCAGCCACTTTCTTCAAACAAGCTGAGCTTTTCAGAATTTCTTTCTTAAACGTGTACAGACACTTCTTAAAGAGGGGGTGATTTTCAGTCTTAAGTATCAGACAGCTTCCACTGAAGATAATGAGAGCTACAAAGTCCTTAGAACTTAGTGGGGGGAAAAAATGACTGAACCAACTGCTAAATGCAGACGTGAAATTTCTAGTTTTTACTATATCTGTAAGTTTTGATCAACATTAGAGACAGTTCTGACACTAAATAAGTATGAATATATTTACTTGGAGTGCCCGTATCCAGTTGTAATTCTGATGAAGCTAAAATTTATACAAGCACATCATGGGTTTTTTTTTTTTGTTTTAGGCCAGAATCAGTTGATACCCCAGATATTGGTGGATCCAGACTAGAACTCAAAACACTTCAAAGACTTGAAACAGTATTTCTGTATTTCAAATGCCAGTGTCTCCTCAGCTCAGGATTCAGTTTACCCCAGCTGTTACAGGGCATTCAGCCAGCACAAGAGTGCAGTTCTTAGCACCTGCCGGTAAACTCCACCTGACCCTGCCTGAGCACCCGAGCTCAATACTGGTCTAACTTTCAGCTACCATCTTACTACAAAAGGAATCAGTAGAACTGTGATAAATGTAACACATGAAGGGAGAGAGATTGCCTCCTGTGTCACTTCATCAACACCAAGAGGGTTAGCAGTACGTGCAACAGTCAAAACTCAGCGTGGAAACCCCGCACTATCAATCAGCTCCCTGCCCCCAGTCACCTCATGTTCCACCTCACAGCCAGTTTCACCCCCCAGCTTTTTAACCCTGAGGCCATCGGAATTGTTCAGCCACACGGTCATTTCCCGTTCACGAGTGCGGCCTGAGATGTGCAGAGCACGGGGAAAAACTAACGTGACAAGCTGTGGGAAGGGCAAGGCTTGGCGAGGGCCAGGGGAAAAATAAATAAATAAATAAATAAAATTCCCCTCTACATCAGTGCAGGTGGCTTGACCGGTGGGAGTGCCTGCAGGCGGGAAGAGGGCTCGGGGTCTGGCCGCCCTGCCCCGCTCGCCAGGCTGACCAGGCAGACGGGCGAGGCCGCGGGACTCGCACACCTTCACCCCGGGGCTGCATTCTGCCCCTCCTGTGGCCGCTCCTCCCCCTCCCTCCTCCCCCCG